ACCGAGTTTAGACTTCAGCAATGAACTTGGTGGTTTTGCTCCAGTCCCCAGAAGAAACTCCTCCTCAAACCATCTAACTATCCCAGTCTTTCCCTTGGAGATGCAGAGTCAGTAAAGCAGTGCATGTTGCAGGTAGGATGGAAACAGACTGGAAGAGCATCGAGGCTCCCACAGCTGCAAAAGCAGTCAAGTCTGAGATAGAGATGTTTTTGCAAGTCTGGAATGGCAGAAGACTTTGAAATGCAAGTGCACTAACACTGTTATACAAAGATGTCAGAAATGCCCGTCCACTGAGTAAACTCATAAGCCTATCCCATCCCTGCTGCCACTACTACTACCTCATTTAAAGGGCAATTTTGGCCAGAATGACACATACTCTGAGTCACATGATGGGGAAGAGGTTGTGATGCTGCTCGGGAATCTACCTTGCTTTGGCTCCCTGTCAGCACAGTTAGAGGACTGGTACCTGTCATAGCTCGATGTCCATGTGTGGCAAGATGGATGCAGTTTATCTCCTCACATCCCTCAGGACTCACAGTCACCCAGCTAAGCATGTACAGCCAGTTAGAAAACACACCTGCACACAGCCTCATTGTATACTGCACATAGGCAGTTGACAACATGCACGTAGGCCTTTATGCCTGCATGTTTTCTTGCAGTCTGAAACTAGACTGATAAACACCTCTTCAAACTGATACTCAGCTTTTTCTCTGTTATCCGAACACTCCATGAAAGGCCACTTACCTACAAAGCAGACATCTCTACCCAAGCTAGATACGCCACATACTAAATGTTTTTGAAAACAAGGAACCAAAACTACATTTACCTGTCAACAGCGCAGGGCTGACAGCCACTACTTTGTATCTGCAATATTTTGCAAATTCTAGAAGACTTAACTCTCATAAGGTGATTATGCCATTAATTAGAGAAACACTGTCATCCCTGGAGTGTAACACAGCAGCTGTTTCAGCTGAGCAGCAAAGCAAAGCCAAGAGGGCAAGGTAGTGGTAATGCCCTCAGGAGAAGCCCTTCTGCTCCGAGCATCCCAGCGCTGCTGCCCCATGCTAGGGGACTGCTCTGGTGCCAGTAAGGGAACACCACAGCTCTGCCCACCACCCCGACCATTCCCTCTCTCAGAGGGTAGTACCCCTTTTCTACCTGGGTGTATGAATGTGGGCTCTAATGGAGGGGATGTCTGTTGCAGCCTGAGCCCTGCACTTCTCAGGATGTGGGTTTTCCTGGGAAGCTGTTCATACACGGATTATCAACCCAAAAGGGATCTCTCTTGTCCTTCATCCCTGTGACCTCCTGCAAAATGGAGATCAGAGAGACTACCTCAATGATCTCCCCTTCAAACTGCCGCATAAAATAGGAAAGGAAAAAATGAAATCCCATGAAGATTCCCCGTGATGCAGCGGCTATCGCAGCTTTTTGATCGGTTGCTCTGTGAACAGGGCTTCATTTCTAGCCTAAGCATGTCTGGCTCAAACTGCCGGCTGCCAGGCCAGGTCCCTGCACTGCGAGCTGGGCAGAGCAGCCACCCATCAGCAGCTGCGGTTCCTCACACAGGCACCTCCATCCATGCACCTCCATGAAGGGCCACTAATGAGGCCCAGGCCAACTCAGCAAGTGATAAGTGACAAGATGAAGGACTATGGTGACTGGGGGGCAGGCTGGGACCACTGTCCCAAGCAAGCGGGAACACTTGGATGGCCACCAGCCAGGCCCTACAGATGAAGGCTAAGGATGTTACATGAGAAATGCTCTGCACAACAGCACGTTTTCACTGCAGGCTGAAGATGGGTGGGAGGAAGGAGGGTGATCCTCTTCACAGCACTCTGGGGTGCGATGGTGCTGCTCTCCCAGAGGGGGAATCTCAGCAGCGAGGGGGAATTCCTCCTTAGCCTGGCATGTCCTGCCTCCCTTGGGCATCTCTACAGTCATGAGCAAGGGAGGAAAACCTCCAGAGTACCAATTCTGGCAGCATATCTAGCCCGAAGGAAGCCATGTCCTCTGAGAGGGATGGGAGCTAAATTTTGCTAGATTAAAGACATTTTGATGACCACTTTTGATACTTTCTGTCCCACCCTGCCACCTCAATACCATTGTGATCCTTCTGGAGAGCACTGCTTCACCTGGCAGAAGTATCGCTGGGGGACAGAAACATTGCTGAAGCTGGGGCGCCCAAATGCAATACCAAGTCTGCCCACCATGCTTCTCACAAGAAGCTGGGCTGAGGGGTCTGGCTTGTCTTCAGAGCATGCTACATAGCAGCAGCAGCAAATTGCTCACAAAAAGTCTGCAAGCAACCATGGGACCATCTTAGCTTATGTTGGACTATGCAGATTCAGGTCAAGAAAGAGCATGGAGTTTGTTCAAAGAGACTTCCATCTTCCACCTCTGGGAGACGAAAATAGGCCTGTCATTTTCAGGAAGAGGAAAGGCCTTGTACTGCTCTGAGAATGAGCAGGATCCCACACAACTTTCCTCCCTTGAAAGGATTCGGCCATCACATTCTTGAGAGTAATGTTAAAGAAAAAAAAAGAGGGAAAAGAAAAAGCAAGTTGTTAATAAAATATGGGGATGACCTGGGAATTTGCTCCCCAAAGCCCATGATAAAAACCCTCCAGCTGAGAGCCGACCACTACATTACATTCCCCAGTGCTCTGCCTTGTCTCTTCTTAAATGTAGGGCACATGGATTCTGTCACTTCTTTGGCATGGCTGCTTAAAGTCTGAGAGGTTTTACTCTGAGGCAGCTTTTCCTTCACATTCAGACTAAATGTGCCGTTTCTTGAAGTCATCCCCTTGTCTTTTATACTCTAGCAAGCAAAACAAGTGTAAATTAAAAGGAAGACACATGAAATCTTTATGAAGCCCAGTGTTTCCCTTAGCATGAAAGTGCCTTCTCTTTGGAGTGGAATGGATCTTTATTCTGTGCTGTATTTTTCCCCATCAGAAAATGGAGAAGAATGTAATTTTTCCTCATGACTTGAATTTAGCTTCATCAGCAGCCCCCTGCTGATGTAATTCAACGCAACAAGATTTTTCTCTTCCCTTTTTTTTTAATTTCCCGGTGAGCTGCTACTCCTTTTCCCCTCCTCCCATCAATTCAGGCATGGAAAACAAGGGAGGAATTAGACAGAACTTATTATCTAACCAGCCGCAACTTCAGACTGGGCAGGAGTAACATTTAAAATATAAAAAGCAAATTTTATCAAGCCTTTTCCTCCCTGGAGACCGCCACAAGAATATTCCTTGTTTGTCACTGAGAATGAACCATTTTTCCCTTTCATTTCTGCTTTCTGTCACATATTTCATTTTGGCTGCCCCTTCTGTCTTTCAGCTTGGGACCTAGGCTGCTAAAGCAGAATCACAGATAACTGAACAACAAAATGCCTGTATTATCTTCTTTTTTTCCTCCTAGTCTGCCAGGTAATTGCAACCCTAAAAGCTTTTGCATATTTACCACAGAAACATGTCTCTCCTGGAGGATGGGACTGTCATCAGGTTGAATATTTCATATAATAAGCCTCTTCTGAGGTATAAACTCGGGTTGGGAATTTTTTTCTGGCCTCCTTCAGAGCAAAGGACAAGCAGATAAAAATCAGCTGCTGCAGTGCTACAGTGTCAAAGTTCCTGTTCCTGTGAAAATTAACTCTTCCCAAGCTCAGGGCCCAGGTGGTTTTTGCCACTGTTTATGTTTATGAAGCAGGAAAAGGGCCTGTTATCAACTCACATTGTTTCTTTGTCCCCAGTGCTCCCCATGTAGAAGACAGATTTATTTCCTATTTACAAACAAAGCAGCTACCCCGCTTTTCAGTAACCCATCTGATGAGCTGTGGATGCTGCCAGGACTGATTTTCATTAAATCAGTCACCAAGAAGGATCACATTTTCCCTCTTCACCCGTTTCACAGAATTAGAACAACAAAAATATGGCCTGGATGTTTCTAAATTCAGCTGTCATCTAAAGACAAATTCCCTTTTTTTTCCCCTCCCTATTTTTCCCCACCCCTGAGGTAGCAGTGGAACTGCTTTTCTCAGTCCTTGGGATATTGAATCAAGCTGACTGGTACCAAAGAGAGGGTCTGAGAAGAACTGACAGACTTTGTCTCTTGGAGTCAAGACAGAGGGAGAGGATGACCTTTTGGGGGTTATGAAAAGAGGATGATTTGCCACAACTATTCAACAGACTGAAGAGGGATATAGCTGGTTCACAGCTTTCGCTTTGGGCACACCTACACAGAGGTCAGAACTCCATCCTAGCACATAACATGCCTTTAGTTAAAAGCACTGTGAGTGGGAATCGGAAGTCGGCGACAGCTCCTCAGTCCAACATCAGATTACTGGCAATACTCATTCATCTCTACCAACAGCTTCCTACATGGAGAAAGGTGTTTCCAGCCTGGCCAAGCTGCCTGCTTGCCTGGAGCAGAGCCAACAGGAGCCAGCCAAAATCCTCCCATTGACTCTAGCAAGCTCCACAGCCTGTGTGGAAACTAGTCCTTGACAAAGCATCTTCTGCATCCATTGTTTTCCTGTGGGTCACCCGTATTCTTGTAAAGCCCTTGTTTCATGTATGAGTAAAGACTGGAAGACGTATCTGAAATATGGATTGATTGTTTAGGTTAAAGTCTTTCTGAAACCAAGAACCTACTTGCATTGACCTGGAAAGGAAATGTGGACTCTCCAGATACATCCCCTCTTCTGGAAACAGTTCCAGAGAGAACAAAGTACTGACAGACGAGAAAGGCTTTCTAAATTGTAACAGCCAAACTCTACTTTTACAACATTTATGGCTATTTACAACTTTACACTGGTTTTCAATGCAAGTAAACTCCAAAAGGTTAGGATACCATTTTTTCTTATCACCAGCAAGCCATTCTAAAGGCCATCCCAGTTCAGGATTAAGGGATGGCTCTCCTTCATTTACAGGAACGTAGGGAAACTCTCACAGGTAAAATACTTCTAGTAACATTACATGAGCCCAATCTCTTACCTGTAATATCGGGATTGAAGGTAGGTAGAACACACAGCTTTAGACACATGGCTAGCTGAACCAAAGTCTATGACCTTGACCCTATATGGCTGTCGGGCTGGGTCTACCAACATGATGTTCTCTGGTTTGAGATCAGCATGAATCAGTCCCAGGCTTTTCAGCTTCATAAGGGCAGTTGCTACCTGCTGGAGAATTGGTCGAATGTACTTAAGGGGCAAAGGACTGAATTTGTTTTGTTTTAGGAAATCGTAGAGGTTCTGCTCCAACATTTCAAAGACCAAGCATGTGTGATTCTTGTGCTGGAAGCACTCGTACGCACGGACGAAGTTGTAGTCATCCGCACTTTCTGTGCTCAGCCGAGCCAGGATGCTCACTTCAATCTGGCCTTGCCGGGCATAGGAAGGATGGTTCTTCAGGATCTTGATGGCCACAATCTCGTTAGTGCCACGTTTCCAGCATTTGACTACTTGTCCGAACGTTCCACGGCCAAGAAACTCTAACACTTCATACGTGTTGGTCATGGAACAGAGCACCTCATGTTGTACCAGCTGGTAATCCCCTTCGCTGTTGGAGCCACTGTTTTTGGAGGTGGCCGTGGAGGTGGTGGCGGTGGCTACAGTGGCCCCACTGGCATTGTTCTGAATCATTGGTGGATGCTCTTCGATGATCTGCACGCTGCTTGTGTTCTCGATCTCCTCACTCTTGCGCTTAAGTCCACATTTTTGGTAGGTGTCCAGAAGGCTCACAGTGCTGCGACGCATCAGGTTGTGTGGCCCGCCCAGTGTTTGCCCAGACACTGCAACCACACCAGAAGTACTGTTGGCAGATGTCACCACGATGTGCCCCGTGCTTGCTGGGAAGATGATGGTCTGTTCGTAAGGGATGCTTGGATTGGGGATCTGGAGGGAGGCGTTGACGGCTGCTGCGGCGGCTGCTTGGGAGGACTGCACGTTCTTGCTCTGGCTGTAGACTTTGCTGTGTGTGCCGTACCCAGTCATATCCCAGTTTGAACTCGGCTCCACTTTCAGTTTCTTCACGCTACAGAAGGCACTTGACTGAAGGGTGTGAGGAGAGAAAACTTGCACATGCGAGGCCATACCTGCAATATAACATCAGAGTGAAACAACAGTGTTAAGATGCTTTCCCTAGCTCTTTTCATTTATTCAGTGGCAGGAAGGGAAAATGGGATACAGAATCATACAATAGTCTGGGTTGGAAGGGACCTTCAAAAGTCATCTAGTCCAACCCCCCCTACAATGAGCAGGGACATCTTCAACTAGATCAGGTTGCCCAGAATCACATCCAGCCTGGCCTTGAATGTCTCCAGGGATGGTGCATCTACCACCTCTCTGGGAAACCTCTTCCAGACTTCAGATACAGCACACGCACACACACAAAGATCAAATTCTTTCAAAATATGTATTCAACACAAATAAAACATTACACTCTAAAATAAATCACTACCCCTGATAGAACTATATTAACAACAACCAAGGCTCCTGTTCTCTTGCTCTACCCCTTCTCATTTTTAATAACAGAAATGTAAATGTTATTTTTACCTCCTCTGCCTAAAGAGACTCCTATTCCCATTGTCTCCGGGAATATAGCTAACTCTCAGGAAGAACTCATGTCAAATACTACAAAGTATTCTGCCTGTGGAAGCCAAATCTCAAATCCTCAGGCTCATCCTATATTAAGTACTTTGGTGGATCTGACTTAAGCCCTCCGTTTATTCCCATAAACCCACTGTGTAGCTTCTGGCCTCCAGAGCCAGGATGGGACCTGGAGATGATACACCATGACAAAATGGAGGTGCACGGATAAAGTTGAGGAGATAGGACATAAGCAGCAGATGATGTTTCAGGTCGCTTGCCAAGTCTGCGTGTGGGAATTGTGCACAATGCTGGTCTGTGCTCAGGGACACTGGAGATGGGAGTTACGCAACATGAGCCTCACTGTTTGCTCTCAGTTCGCCCAGATTTATAAAACTGTGTTCATCTATTCTTATTCACAGTGACAATACCATCAGTGGGAAATAAAGTATCACTGACGCAGAATTACTGAGTAACATACCACTGAAATAGAAAATGCTTCTATCAGAAAAAAAAGATGTGGTCCACAGAGAAGAAGACATCCAAGTGCTGACTTACTGCCCCTTCTCCCTGCCCAGGGTAGGGATGGTACTGCTGGACCAAAGGTATTGTGAGCAGGGGATTCCTGGAGAAGGAATCAGCGCCTGGCAGGAGTTAAGAGCAGAAAGACACAGCCTCCTTCACCCTTCTATCTGTCGTCACTGTTTCTTTTTAATAAGCCAGAATGACTAGGGAAGAAAAACACAATATGCTGAGCTGGCATGTTGCTGAATTATTAAGCATAAACATAACCTTGACTTGTTTTCAACTTTAAAAAAGTTAAAAGTTGAATGAATGCTGCAGTCACAAAACCAGAACAAACTCTGCAGCGCACAGAGATGACTTCTTCATGTGGAGACCTGAGAGTATCCAACACTTTCCTAAAAGAATCTCATGCTCCACATGTTGCTCTTCAGAAGATTTTCTGGAGCTCATGTGCACACATACACACACATGCATGCATAAACATATATACCCATATAGAAAAATATGAACATTACTCCACACATCCAAAACCCAGTAGAATGGTCAAGCAAACACACCTAAACACATCCAACACTCATTGTCCAGTTAATTTTGAGAAGCCCAAAGCCCAGGAACTGCTCAGGAGAGGTGTGCTGTGGTGAGCCAAAAGCCACTGTTATGTAGCTACACAGAAGTAACCCGCAAAGCAGTGACTCTGGTTTGCTTCAACACCCCCACCTTCATTCCTGCCACAGTGACCAACTGATGAAGACAGGGCAGATGCAGAAGAAAACCCCTATCAGGACACTTTGAGAAACTCTCCGCCCTGCCGGAACACGCAATGAAAGCCCCACTAACCCTGCTCTAGCAATGAAGCCCTGCAAAACGCAGCGTGCCCTCCTTTGCAGACATGACCTCTGGCTTTAATGTGATTTCTGATGCTGTTTGCTGCCGTTCGTATTAACTTCCCCCCACCAACCTCCTTGGCAGCAATTTTCAAAGTCCCTGCAACTGGGTCCTCAGAACCCCACCAGATCCCTGCCCCTCTAAGTGCTTTCTCTCCTCTCTCCTTTCCACAAGGCAGTGATGCTGCCACGAATGCTGTAGCATATGGCATGTGGTGAGCCTGGAAAACCGCAGCAATATTACTCAACTTGTCATCCTGGACACAAGTATTGTATCTGAGGGAGCCGAAACTGTGTTTGTTTTTCCACTGATTAGGAAGAGTCACAGTGTTCCTTCTAGTACAGTACCAACCTGCCTGGAGATTGGGGTTGGTCTGATGTATGTTGTCCCCCTGGACAGGAATAATAAAGCAGATGTAACTGGTAACATACTATGGACCTAGCAGAGGTGTAATTTACATCTTTATGTCTTTCATTCCATGGTGTGCTTGAGCAGTATCTCTTAATCCAAAATAAAGAAGGGAAAAAACGACTGATGCAGAACACGGAGAGAGGTTCTTCTCACCCATCCTAGCACTAAAGATAACACCAGAAGACCAAGGCACCCCAAGTTAAAGCCAGTGACATGAAGCGCAGCAGCTGCAACATTTTCTGCACCGCTCTAGAAATCAGGATAATCACCACCATTAAGAGACAGACTTTCAACTGGTGCAAACTGGCAGGGCTCCAGTTGATATCAGCTGACGCCAAAAACAAGGTCAGTAGTCACTCAACGTCGTCAACGTCAGATGGCTGCCTGTGCCCCTCAGTGAAATGAGTTGTTGTTAGGGACTGGTTTCCACATCAGCAACCAGCCCCTTGCTGTCCCTGCAACACTGCTGGCAGCCTCAGCAGGGGGACGAACACTGACCTACCCTGGCACCCCAAAAATGCTAGGAGTGCAGAAAGCACGGCCATCTTATGGCTAAAGGGAGGACTCTGGACTACCCTGCTGCCATTTCCACCCTCCTCTCCTCAGATGTTATGTCTCATTGTGGGAGAAATATTTTTTTCCCCTGAAAAAAGAAGTATGAAATCTTCTTCCTTCCATCCAAAATGATTTTCTCACATTTGAGGTTGTAGGGGCACACGTAAGAATAACTCGGCCAGCTCTCCAGCATAGGCCAATACCAAGAAATTACAGGCTGATTGACAGCCTGGTGATGGGAAAAGAAGGCTTCTGCAGCAAAGTAATTTTTATTGCAAATTTGCCTGTGCAGTTAATGAAAGAAAAACACAGCCCTAAATTTCCTGAGGACACTATCAAATTGTGCTGGTGGCATGTTCTTTTTTTTTTCAAAAAGGGTCTTTCCTCCATGGCAATAGCAGAAATAGGAACAAACATGAATAAAAGTTGGATAGTTTGTTACGGGGATCTGATTCCTCATTACAGCCTGCAATACAATTTACAACTCCAGCCTTTCGATCACATAGGCCAACAGTAGCTTGCCACAACATCCATGTAAAAACAAGCCTGCAGCACTGGGGTGATCCATGCCAGCCAAGCCCTGTGACAGAGATGCACACTGAGCATCTCCCAGAGCTAGCAGGGATGCTCCTGAGAAGCATTCTCACTCCTGGGGTCTTCTAATGACAAAGAGGCCATAAGGCATAGAGGGATGGAAAACAGCCTCTATCACTTGGGAAATGTCCTCTTACAGGTCTGCCATAAAACCTCCTATGTCAGGCTGGGATAACTTTCACTGCAGGAAGATCCTAGCAGACACCCTTCCATGTTTTGCATGGGATGGCTGAAGGCTCCTCACTTTTCTGTTCTCCACCAGGAGCTCAGGCTTGTTTCTGCCTTGGCAGGGGTGCAGGACAGCCCTCCACACCCTCAGTTAACCAGCCAGGACACCACAACAGCTAAATACAAGTCCTGAAGAGTGCAGGTCTAATTTTTATATCACCCCTGTGCATGCCGAGTCTCTGGGCTGGGAGCAGAATCAATGTTGGGCACCATGCATTAAATAAAATTGATAGTTCCTTTCTTTAATAATGAGGTTTAGCGTAGCCATTTAATGCTCTCACACAATTGACAGTAACTGGATTTAATGGGGCCTTCCCTGTCCTTGATATGACTCACATAACTCCCCATAGCATCCACATGAGCTGAAGTATGTAGTGTGCAGCTAGGGGACAACGTTAAAACAGCCTGAAGGGCTTTTATTAAAAGACTTGAGGTTGTTTTTTTCCTGAGAACTCCTCCCACGTCAGCTTTCACTTGATAATAATTTAGCAGGTGTTATTTACAATTCAGATGGTCCTCTTCTGCATGCACACACAAATCACGCAGCCGCCTCACTTGGATTTCCAACAGGTTTCAGGGAAGCAAATGAGATGAAGTTGCCTAGCCTCCCACCTCACCCCAACAGGCAAAAAATGCACTTTGGGGACTAAAGAAGGAACAGTCTGAAAGTCACTCATGTTTTCTCCTGCTTTACTCCTAGCACTTACTGCTGATTTATAAATGTGGCCTTTGTGGTGGCAAGAGACCAAGCGCCTGCCCTGTATTAAGTACGCAGTAAGACCTTTCGCAGTACCTGCAGAGCTGCCAGTACTCTGTAACCAGAGGCTGCTCGCTGACTGCTGCCAGAACGACAGTGCCTGCTTGAAAAATACTGTAGAAAGCCCATGGCATGTGTTCAGCATATAAATGATGCACACAAGACACTCCCGAAATAAGTATCTTCCACTTCTCCCTGGTGAGGCACAAGCCTGCTTACTCTTACACACACAGGTTATGAAGGCAACCTGAAAAGGGAATCTGCCATGTACGGCTAAGGTATTGCACCTTCAAAACACCTATGTCTCAAGCACAGCCCTCTTCTTCACCATGTGGCCCCTTTTGAGCCACTGTCACCAGTACCACCACCCTATGGAACCTCCTTAAAATTTACATCCCTGGAGGCTACAGAGATTCCTTCCTTTGTGCTACTGAATGTTTGGAGACAACCTCCAAGTGGAGTTCCAACCTCAACAGCTTCAGCTCCTTCCTGTTCCTGGTGAGAAGATGTCAAGGGAGCCTTTGGTGCAGGTGAAAA